ACTCTTCTACCCAAGAACATAATTTGCCTTTCCATGTACATCGGTCTTTTATTTTATTTTTTATTGTTTTCCAGTAAGGTTTTTGATGTTTCGCTTCACACTCGAGCTTGTTCATCTCATTTTACAAAGAGCTGCTCCGTTCTCTGAAGAGTGTGGCTGTGGCCTTCCCGGGTGGGGCTGAGCTGTCACCCGCTTTCCCAGACCCTCGAGGGGGGCCCTTTTGGGATACCTGTGATCCATCCTGTTCCATCAGAGCGACGCTCCAGGGCACGTCCTTGGACTTATTCTTCCAGCGCAGTTGTGATATGTCCGCAGGATCGAGCCCTGGAAGAAGGTCGCCGACGTCGGGTCAGGCTGTGCCCGGAAACTGCTCCTCACTGTCAACAATGACTCGGCGGCCACGGCCACGTAGGTGTCCGTTTGATCCCCATCTCTGGGTCTTCTCTGCGTCATGGGGGACGTCACCTTGGCTTTCTGCTGGGAATTCTCTCCTCTCGGTTGTGGCTCTGCGTAAAAGACGAAGAATCCGTCGCTTTGGCCGTTCATGCGCATGCTGACTCACCCACTCGTTCGTTCAGAAGTCCCGTGCTGGGACCGCGCATCCACCAGGGGGCCCTCCCATTTTATTTATTAAGTAAACGGTTGCCTAACTTCTGTCTCTGCCCATCTCTGCCTAACTCTGAGTCCCAAAAAGGACATCCCCAAGTAGGAAAGGAAATGTTGAGAGATGGGGAAACTGAGGTAGGAGGCGGCACTGCATGGCTTGATGAGGGTCAGAAAGCACCTAAGTGGTAAAGTAAGACTGCACGTGTAGCTTCTTACCCATGACTGCGCACTTTGCATCGAGCGCGCACAGGGGCCGTCCTTGGAAAGCCTTGTGCTCCTTAGATGGGGGTCTTCTCCAGGTGTGGGGAGCAGAAAGCAGGAGATCGGCCTGTTCAGTCTTTGCAGCTGCCAGTCCTGATGCCCCACACCTGCCCAGAACCTTCTAGACCACGGGCACCACCATCCAGGAGCAAGGAGCGCGGGGCCAGCGGCCAGGGAGGCCCGGTCCGGCTGCCAAGTTTCCATCTGGGCTCCTTCTCCAAATCTCCGCAGAGACTGTCCCACCCCCACCCTTGGCAGTGGGACCCCGCCATCTGAGCCTGCCTGCGGCTAACCTTCAGGAACGGAATTTAAAAGGCTGCAATACCAGTCCCTGCCCTTCTGGGATGACTGGGCAGCTTGGCCCAAAATAGCCGGGAGAGGCAGCCAGTTAGGGCCTCGGTGGGAAAAATCACAGGGGTGCTAACGACCGGCTGGGCTTATCGGGAACCTAGCCTCTTGCACACTTGAACCAAAGGTCACATCGTTTTCTGTATTGATGAGAAAACAGAGGTAGGGAGGAGCCAGGACAGGCCCCGGGAGAGAGGACTGGCCCGCGGGGAAGGACACAGCATGCTCCCCCTGGGCAGCGATCCGGGAACGTTCTTTCCCAAGGGCCTCGGGGCTTTATGGCCCTGGAGCTGCCCTAGTCCTGGGAATATTCAGGAAGCCTTGGGGGTTTGGCCCAGACGTCCCCGCGTAGGAGGTGTGAGCTCCCAGGGAATTCCAGGACGGGCGTGGCCTGCAGCTCTATGGGGGGAGGGGGGCATCTTTCTGGTTGGCGCTGGCCTCTGACCCATCCAAGGCTGACAAAATCTCCCCCAGGCGCTGCTGCTGGCTTTGGGTCCTGATTTGTCAATGCTGGTTTTCTGGGTTTTTTTTTGTTATGACTCCTGTCCTAGAGCTGGCCAGGACTCTGTGCCATGGGAAGACATTTGCTGGGAACGTTTGCCCTCATTTCTGCGAGGGAAACTATGGCCGGCCACGGAAGAGAACCCAGCCGCCGGGAAGGCCGCCCCTGGCTGGCCAAATTTCCCGTCCTACTCATGCTTTTCAAGCAGCAAATGAAGTTGACAACAAAGGGCATCGGGGACCTGGCCAGCTCTGTGTCTGGGGGACATATTTTACTTCCTTTGTTGAAGGCTGACCTGCATTCTCGGGGAGCCCGGCCTTGGGAATCTTTGCCCATTTGCTTGTCCGTCTGAGCCGTGGGCCAGGACAGGCCCAGGGAGGTGCTACCCAGGATGGACTCAGACCCCAGGGCCGTTGTTTCGAGTTCCCCACCCCTCTGAGCCTCCGTTTCACACGAATTCCCGAGAAACCCCGTCTCTTGTTGCCCCGGTTAATACCCGCTGCCCGGTTTCTGCCTCAAGGAAAACAAATAACCCCTTTTCTGACCTCTCTGGAGATGTGGGGGCTCCGCTCACACTTAGAATAATCATCATAACAAGCCCAGCCAGTGTGGCCCAGCGGTTGAGGGTCGACCCATGAACCAGGAGATCAGGGTTCGATTCCCGGGCAGGGCACCTGCCCCGGTTGCGGCTCAATCCTCAGCAGGGGGCCCGCAGGAGGCAGCCGATCAGTGACTCTCTTATTATTGATGTTTCTCTCTCTCCTCTCCCTCTCCTGGCCTCTCTCTGAAATCAATAAAGACATATTTTAAAAATAAAAATAACAAACATCCTAGCGCTTTGTACCCGCTCCAGCAGCCCTTCGTCAACAGCGTGAGGACTTACAGGTCTTAATCCTTTACGCCAAATACCCCCAATACAACAAGCTCTGACTACTCAGTTTTTCCCTAAATTCAGCACAACAAGGTGACTCCAACTGGGAGGCGGGAAGTGGCGCCCGCAGATCCCAGCGCAGGAAAGGCAAGTGTGGGACAAGGGGGCGCCACCCCAGAGCCGGGGGGAAGACGCGCTGTGTGCTCCTCGCATCTCAAGTGGAACACAAGCGGCCTCGCCGGCTCCGATCAGAGCCCCGGGGCCCCTCTCTGCTTTGCAGGTAAGGGAACTGTAAGGGCCCCCGAGGCTGGGCTCCCCCACGCGGAGGACTTTCGGCCGCCCCAGCTGTGAGCTTTATGGGGCAGCATTTCCAGAGCTCTGCTCCGCTCTGGGTCTCCGGGTCCAAGCCTCGGGATTATCTTAAAGGTAGCTGTCATTTAGTTCTTCAACCCTGAAACCATCTTGGTTGGACGGGGTCGGGGGCGGGAGCAAGTCCCCCGTCTCCACGCCTGTTTCTCTCGGAAGCCCCACGGCCTGTGCGCTGAGCTCTGGGGTCCGGCCCCTGGGGGGGCCATGGGGAGCTTTCCCACCGCATTCAGGGAGCTCCCCCGAGAAACACCCGGATCCTCAAACGCTCGAGACGAAGGTCCTGCTTCTCTCGTGGTGTCTGTCCCGCAGTCTCCCGGTGCCAAGGCTATTTGAGGACGGAACACTAGGAGGTGAGTCCCGTGCTGGGCCCGGGCCTGGCTGACGGGAAAGCTCCCCGTTCCGCGCAGGACGGAGACGGGCTTATCTCCGGGTTTCCTGTGTCGATAATGAACCAGGGACACGAGTTTGGCCAAGCCTCAGACACGAGCCGGACATCGTGAGCAAGTCTCGGGTCCTCTGACACCGAGGACACAGTGTCTCCGATGGGAATGCGGTTTCTTCATCTTTCCGGAGAGTCCGTGAGCCTCTCCAGGTCACGCAGGACCGGGCACACGTCTCCCTCTGCTCCCGCGGTGCGGGGTGGCTGCTGGGTGTCTGTGGAGTGGCCACTGGTCTCTCACTGGCTCCCCCGCCCAGAGCCCACCCTCTGCTTCCACCTCTGTGTTCTCAGCGTGGCTAGTGGTTGTCAGGCATGCACCCCCCTCCCCCCGATTTCTTCCAGGCAGACACATGGGGAGCAGACACGGGAGAGATATTCCAAGGAGGGGGAGTGAGCCACACGCAGGCTCTTTGCTTTGCCCTGAGCATCGCCAACCGGCATCCCAGGGTCTACATCCTCTGTCCAGGTGCAGCCAGAGAGAGAGGCCCTGAGTGGAGGGACAAGGAGACAGGAAGGGCAGGTAGGCCGGGCCGGTGTGGCTCAGGGGTTGAGCATCGACCCATGAACGGGGAGGTCACGGTTCGATTCCTGATCAGGGCACATGACTGGGTTGTGGGTTTGATCCCAGCAGGGGGCATGCGGGAGACAGCGGATCAATGACTCTCTTTGATCATTGACGTTTCTATCTCCCTCTCCCTCTCCCTTCCCCTCTCTGAAATCAATAAAAATATGTATTTTTTTAAAAGTGCAGGTACGACCTCAGAGGAGGTTGGAGAGGGCATGGGAGGGGAGTGAGGGCTCAGAAAGAAAGAATCGTGACTGCAGCAGAGTTTTGCTTCTCTGGCCAGATCCCATCTCTTCTCCTGATATGATAAGATTCCAGAATAAGCCGGCCTGGCTCAGAGTGTTTTTTTTTCGGGGGGGGGGGGCAGCTCCCAGGAAGCTCGGGGCAGCTATCGGGCTGTGAGGTGGGGCCAAGGGACTTGCTTAGAGAGAACTCGCGTATAAGATGGACGGAACGTCTCTCCTATCGAGGAATGAGACCGAGAAACGCTCCGTCCCTCCTGGCCCCGCCCCCGCGCACACTGACCTCTGGGAAACCCCGCTCCCCTGGATCTGGTCAAAGCAACGGACCATCACGGTCCAACAACACACACGCGTACGTACACGTGCACGCATGCAATTCTGCATTCCGCTCGGGGCGTTCGCAGGTTTCCCCCAACCTGTCGGTGGTCCCTGGACCCCAGATGGAGGCCCTGATCAGAGACGTGTCTTGGATCTGCCACGGTTTGCGGACTCGATCCCTCCCAGTTGGCTACAGGTGCCCCCTGAGCTCCTTGAATCCCACCCCCCCTGCCACTAGGCGACTTGGGGTTCCCAATCCTCCTCATCCTGGGCTCCCAGCCACCCCCACACCAGGGGGGGCTTCCAGACACTGGGAGTGGCCACCCCTGTCCCAGCCGGGGCGGGCTCCCCAGGGGCAGGGGGCCAGGAGGAGGGCAGCCAGCTTTCCCTGCCCGCCGGGCACACACACAGTTAATTCTCCGCGGCTGCTGTTTGGATAAAACACACTGGGAGCATTGGAGGCTCGGGCCGCTCACATCTGGCTGGGCTTTGCTCCTTACGCGTCCGTCCTGCTTTCTACGGCTCTTCCTTCACTTTCGAGAAACCCGTTTCCGCTTCTGGCCAGAGAGCCCTCGGAGCCAAGGAGATCAAGGTGCCCGGACGGCTGGGACCGGCCGCTGCCTGCGTGGGCCTCCCCTCTCCCGCGCCTTCTCCCCGGACGACTTTTCCCTCTTCCCCGCTCTCCGCCGACAAGTCTGTTCTCCCCCCTTCGGCCCGGGAGAGGCTCCGCTGCCGGGAGATGCTCTAAGAGGCGGCGCCGCGAGAGCCCAGAGGCCGAGACGGGGACGCCGGCCGGAGGTAGGTGGCCGGAGGGACCCAGCGCTGACTGGCTCCTTCCGTGGCTTCAGCCTGGGCGCCAGAGCCGAGCGGGGCTGACACCTTAGCTGCCAGGCGGGCGAGGAGCCCAGTGGGAGGGGCCCCGGTGGCAGTTGTGGCAAAAGGGCCGAGAGACTGGGAGCCGCAGAAGGTCCCGGTGCCTGCTCTGCAGCAGAGCCGGCTCTGTAGGAGGGGGACGGCCGACTCTGGCCCCCTCTGCGACTCAGGAGCAGGGGCTCTGTGGCCCAGGGATGCTGTCAGGAATGATGGGACGTCTCCCTGTGTTTTGTGGGGTGTTCATCTTGCCTTGCTCTTCTCTGGTGCTTTTCCAAAGGTGTGAAAGGAAAAGAAATGGTACCCAAGTCCCCTCTGCACCTGTGGGGAGCCTCCCGTCCCCCGATAACGCCTGGACCACCCGAAAGCCAGGTCTGTCCGGCCCTGCCTGGGGCCAACTTGGACCCCACTCAGGACAGGAAACGCTGACTCGAGCCTTGGTGCTCCTGGAAGGGTTCCTGCCTGGAGAGGGAGCAATAGTGCCCCTCTTCCGGGGACCCTCCCGGCTGCGGCCCACACTGCTAGGAGAGGGCCGGGGCCGAGTCCTCCGGCCTCTGGCCTGCACAGGCCTCTGTGTGCCGGCCCCCACGCACCGCCCAGCTCCCCAGGGCACTGCCATGCTGCAGGTATGCTCCCCCCCATCCTGGGCCCCCGCAAGGTGTTTGCCTGTCTCCCAGGCAGCCCCAGCGCCTTCCGTGGACCTCTGTGCCACGGGCACTCACAGTCCTCCCGTCTGCGGGAAATGGGGAGGAAGCCGCCTCGTTGGGACTGGTTTCTGTCTCTCCTGTCACTTAGTTTCTGGGAATGGAGGCAGTTGGGCACACTTGGAGTTTTGAAATCAAGGAGCGTCCTGAGAAACGGAATTTTCTCAACTGTTGGCTGAGTCTGGGTCCCCGGGGGAGGATTCGAGGTCCCCAGAGGCTGCTGGACCTTTGCTTTTTATAGTGCGGAACACTCGAGGCTGGCCCATGAGCCCGTCCGAACAGAGGCACTGGCCTGCTGTGTGCTGCAGGGGGAGGCCTGCCTGGCCGGGAAGCTCCGACGTCCCCAGGCCTGCTCGGTGTCCCTGCGGAAGGCAGGAGAGACAGAAAACGCAGGTGGAGGGGAGATGGGGGTCAGAAGGCTGCCTTGTCCCCGCCCATCCCTCCTCCCCACTCACCCTCTTGACCTGAGAGCTGAGTGGATGAGAGGAGCTTAGGGATGAACCCAACAACAACCACCGCAATAAAACTAGCGGGAGCCACGTGTGTGTGTGTGTGTGTGTGTGTGTGTGTGTGTGTGTTTGTGATCCAGAGCAAGTGTTCTCAACAGTCCTATCCGTGGCGCTTTCAGCCTTGAGAAGCTCAGGGAGGCCTCACTCCTTGCCCACGGGTGGTAGATGAAGACCAGAGACTCAGACCCGCGTCTCCGTGCCCAGAGAGGGGATGCGATTGGTTGAAGGATGCACAGCAATCCAGGCTGAGGCTGGAACTCGGAGCTTCTCCTTTCCAAATTCCCACTTCCCAGCTGCCCAGAGAGAACAGAGAATGTGCCCTGGGGCAGAAGGACAGCCGGGTCCTGCTTCCCAGGGGCCCTGGCCGCTCCTCTCGAGCTCTCCCCTCCGTTTCCCACCCCGAGTCTCCAGTGATGCCAAGGAAAGTGCTCCCTGCAAACAGCACGTCAGGGAGACAGAGAAGCTCTGAGCAGAAGGGCTTGGGTGGGCCCCCTTCTGCCGGAGGGTGCTGCCACCTGTCCGGGGCAGGTGCAACCCGGCAGCAAGGGGCACCTCCCCGGTGGGAGCTGAGAAAGCCGACGTGGCCCAGGGAGGGCGCAGGCTCCTCCTTCCTGGGACATCACCTCCCTGCTCCGGGAACCAGCACAGCACAATTTCTTCGTTCCGTTGTTCCCGGTGCCTCGAGCCCTCCCTCAACCACCAGCTGTAATTAGCATGACTCACAGACCAAGTATTTTGGCATTGAGCTTCACCCATCAAAACAGAGATGAAAGGAATTTCGTAGATGCAGTGGTGCTGCTGGGAGTCCTCCCTGGACACAGGCATGTCCCCGGGCTGGCGGCTGGGCTGGGTCCCTGTTCCTAGGGCCGGGAGTGGCCGAGGCTTCGGGGCCTTTGGGAAAGGGAGGCTGGGAAGCCGCGGGTCGGGAGCTCTGCCTGCCAGCCCACTGGGAGCAGCCCCGTCTCCCTGCCCGGAGGACCCAGAGATATTTAATTGGGGGGCACAGCCTTCCGCAGCGATTCATCTTGGTGGCGTAACGACAGCGTAGGCTGGGGGTTATTATTTTTGCCCTGTTTTTACCTGCTGGACTCTCCCTCCTCTCAAAGTCACATGAGGCCAGGCATCTCCCCGACCCTCACATAGCGCAAGGATTGTCTGCCACGTAGAGGACAGTGTGACAGGGCCATCGAAGCCTGCATGGTGCGTCCTGCCATGCCCTCGGGCAGCCCCAGAGCCGGTCCTGTGAGGCCTGGGATCTGGGACTCTCAGGAGCCTGCCCGGGGTCCATGCGGGGTCCTTGGCCTGGCAGGGCCCGTTCTGCACTCTGGAACCACAGACGTTCAGAACCGGGCACATGGCTCTCCCCTCCTCCCCGAGCCCCACAGCAGAACCTCAGTGACACTTACCTCCCTGCCTCTCTGGGATGGGCTCAGGGGTATGAGATGCGGTGGGGCTCGTAGGGACATCTTTATCTCTGGGTCCCACTGAGAGATGCCTGTGAAATGGGAGACACAAGTGGCCCTTATTGTCTGGGGAAGCCACTCACCCTCTCCCACGCTTGCTTTCCAGAGCTGGGCTCAGAGTGGGGCAAATGTGAGCAGGGGCACTGGAGCCCCCCCCCCCAGCCTATCACGGGTGTTCTTGGCCTGCTCTGGAGGCCCCTGGAGTCAACCCCTTCTCAGCTGTGGATGGGATGGCCCAGTCCAACTGGGGAGTCCTGCCCTGAGCATGGATGCCATGAGCATGGCTGTGGGCCAGGCTGGGCCTCGGGGTCTGACCATCTCCCTGGCTCCTGGAGGAATTTTCTTTGAAATGAGACAAAGCCAGGCAGGAGGCTGTGGGCAGGGAGCACGGGAATGAGGCAGATAGGCAGGGGGTGGTGCATGAGGGGTGGGACATCGGGAAACCAAGTGCTTGGTGCCCTGTGCTGGGCTGGGTCCCCTGTCCCTGCTGGCTACTGGTCAGGCCACCCTTGGTGGAATGCCCCAAATCCTTTGCCATGGGTTACACCCCTGTCCCGAAGGGAAAGCGCCTCATCTGGGAAAGCCTCGAGCCCTGGTGGGTTTGCAAGGGGTGCGGTCAGGCTAGGTTGGCCCTGCAACTCCGCCCCAGGGGTTCCTGGGGCTGGTCTTTGGGTAGGGACTGAGATGTGCTTGGAAACAATTGGGCCCTTTCTCTCTGTGCAGAATCAAGTGGGTACTGGTGAGAGACGGGTGGATCAGGGGGGTGAGGTATCCATGGGGTTTTTGGGTCTTCAGGCATCAGGACTTCCCTCCCCCATGAAGGTATAGTTGTGAGTCCCGGGGGTGAGAAGACCCTGAGAATGGCACCTAAGGAGGGACGGGACCAGGCCAGGCAGCTGGGGACCTGGGCTAGAGGCCGATGCCCGCCCCCCTTTCTGTCCCAGCTCCTGTAGTCTCCTGCTTCCCATCCCCTCTCTGCAGGTGCCCCTACTAGGGGTCCGCCCACGAGGTCCCCAGGCAGTGATCCAATGGGCTTCCTCCCATCAGAGGATGCTGGGGGCTGGACGAAACCATTGCCACCCTCTCAGGACGTGGGCTTCTTGTCCTCCCTTTTCCATCTGGGGTTTCCGTCCACCTTGCAAAAGCAGTGAGTGCCCTAAAAATGCACGGCCCACAGCTACGCCCCTTATATGTTGAGGGGCGTGTTCCCGGTAATGCTTTGCCTGCACCCAAAGGAATTAAACTCCTGGCTGGCTGGCATCCCTAGAGAAATCTCAGCACCTGGCGGAGAGTAGGCCCTCAGTAATCTGCAGAACGAACGAATGAACGAATGCGCGGGCCCAGCTGGCGGTAAGCTCTTCAGAGCCAAGGTGCAGCTGCTGTTCCAGGGGGAACCAAGGGGGCCAAGCAGCTGGACACATGGCAGCTGGGAGCTGCTGGACTGCAAGCTGGCTGCATGAGCCTGTCCTATCTGCCATCTTCCTGGGACCCCTCGAGATGAAGTGTCAGACATCCCTGGGGCTCACCTGAGCTCCAGCCCCTCCCCACTGTGGGACCTGGGGTGAGGGGCCCAGAGCCCGGCATCTCATCGGTGCTAACAGCTGGGGCTGTTAGCGGGAGTCTCTGATAGACGATGGGCCGTGAGCTTGCGTGGCCACTGTGCAGAAATCCCGACGATGGGCTCAGGGACTTGGCCCCGTGGAGTCGTCTCAGGGCTACGGGCAGCTTCCTCTGGTAGCAGGTGCCACCACTAAGTAGTGTGTCAGGGACAGACGAACATCCTGCTTCTAGAAGACCAGTTCTCTCCAGCTGGCCTGACCCTAGCCCAGTAAGGTGTCCGTCCCCGGCCTGACCTGTGTCCCCAGCATCTCCAACGGGGCCTTCTGCCCCCGAGCGAGGGCTGCTCTTCTCCCTGTGTTCCAGAACCCGCCCTCTGCCTGGGATGTAGTACACATTCAATAAATACCCGAGAAAGACTGTGGGACATCAGCGCCAGGCCCATTTATGCTCCCCATGGCCCTGCGAGAGCCACGGATTTGCCTCGGCTCCCTGAAGCCCCTCCTCCCTTCTGCTGTTCTATGCGTAGAGGCAAATTCCCTGGAATAAACAAGATGCTCCCTCAGTCCCAGGGTGGGGCTTATTTGTCATTTTTCTAAGTGGAAACTAATGTGGACTTTATGGGAAAAAATATGCGGCTGTTATAGGGCCCAAACCCAGGGAAGCGCAGCAAGCATACGGCCAACATCCGCGTT